AATTAATTTAAATAAATAAATTTTGTATCTCAATTTTAAAATTCGGCAGATACATGTATCTCATGGATTCAGACTCATGTATCCTAAGCATAAAATATGGTAATGAAGTAATATTTGAAACTATTGCGAATCTTAATAATTAAGACCTAAACTAGTGAGATTTATGTGATTTGCCCTTTTTTTATTTAAGGTCCAATAATGATGAAATTTAAATTTTGAACTAAAACTAATTTAAAGCTTGGTAAAGCATCTTCAACTGTTCCCACATACAAAACACAATTTTTTCATGTGATTTTTATTTTTTTTGGTAATGTCTCAAGTGATTTTTGAAAATCCCAACAATGCTAATACCAATTAAATGAAGATTTCTTTATCGCTAATAAATAAAAAAAATTGTGTAGTAAATTGTAATTTTTCATTGGTGATTGGACCAACTAATGGGAGTTATGTACGGCAAAAAAATAGATATTCAATGAAATAATGATAAGCATTCTATTTTTTATATGATTTTTTTTCCAGTGACTTAATCATAAATAACTATAGGAATATCCACTAAACATTTTTTTTTAATTTTCAAATTAAAGAAAATGTTTGATTTTTCTTATTATAGTATATCTAACTCATGAAGAAGTAAGATTTCCCATGATTAAGAGTTAGTTTGAATTGATTTATTTTAAAGCGTTGCTTTTTTGGTCAAGATCGACGAAAAAGCGACGCAGTCACTTCCGTCGCTTTTTAGCTCGACGCTTTTCAAAAAGCGACGGACTGCGTCGCTTTTAGAGACGAACTGCGTCTCTTTTAGTGACGGACTAAGTCGCTTTTTTACTATTTTTTTTTAAAATGCGACGGACTGCGTCGCTTTATTTTAATTTTCATTTTTTTTAATTTCTAAAGGGCGACGCAGTCCATCGCTTTTCTGGAAATTTATTTTTTGAAAATTCGAGAAAAGCGACGGATAAAAGGACACTGTCCGTCGCTTTTTTGGAAATTTTCTTTTTAAAAACCCAAAAAAGTGACGGACTATACCACGCTGTCCGTCGCTTTTTCTGCAGTATTTTTGACAGCAGGAACTTGCAGTTTCTGTTGCCCACCTGCAAATGCAATTCAATTCAATTCTACACTATTCATCCCAATCAAACACACAATTATAAACAATCTAAACAATACATAAAATAACGAACTTAAAATAACATTCAAAAGTATCTAAATCATAAATTAAAGACTTATAAAGTCTTTTAAAATTCGTTTTAAAATTTCAAAAAGTTCATAAATGTTCAGAGATCTAAACTAGGGAGTGAGATCTACATAATCATCCTCGTCACTCTCGTCGTCGGTGTCATTGGGAGCCGAAGTAGTAGGTCGACGAGCGAGGTTCATCACTTGTTCTTTGATTTGCTGAATGGTCTTACTCATGGTTTCTTGTTCAGCTACTTTTCTCCGCTCTGACTCTGCTAATGCCGTTGTAAGTTTAGCTATTTGATTCGACATAACAACAATCTGAACACCATCAAGTGCCTCGGCTTGATGTGATGATCCAATACCGTCTAAGCCTGACTGGAGTCGTCTAACATCGTTTCGAGAGCCTAGACCATAGCATCTACCCTTGTGTGTCCCCCTACCACTTTTTCTTTCCAAATCTGGGTGGACAATTTAGGGGTTAATTGGACCGAACTATCTAGATTCTCAGCGACGTACTGATGAAAGTCATTCTGCATATTAAATATAAAAATTGACATCAATATATATACATATCATAAATATATTCACTATTAATATATATTATTCATATTAAATAACTTACAAAAGTTCGTTCGGCCCTTTCCTCCACCTACACATCCGGATCTGAAATCGATCTTGCAAGAAAATCAATTTTGTCATCAATAGGATCAACTAGTGTTGGTACTTATGCTTAACAAATATATTATTTCTAAATTTAAAGCTAAGTGTCAACACTAGATGGACACAAATCGATCTTGCAAGAAAATCAATTTTGTCATCAATAGGATCAACTAGTGTTGGTACTTATGCTTAACAAATATATTATTTCTAAATTTAAAGCTAAGTGTCAACACTAGATGGACACAAATCGATCTTGCAAGAAAATCAATTTTGTCATCAATAGGATCAACTAGTGTTGGTACTTATGCTTAACAAATATATTATTTCTAAATTTAAAGCTAAGTGTCAACACTAGATGGACACAAATCGATCTTGCAAGAAAATCAATTTTGTCATCAATAGGATCAACTAGTGTTGGTACTTATGCTTAACAAATATATTATTTCTAAATTTAAAGCTAAGTGTCAACACTAGATGGACACAAATCGATCTTGCAAGAAAATCAATTTTGTCATCAATAGGATCAACTAGTGTTGGTACTTATGCTTAACAAATATATTATTTCTAAATTTAAAGCTAAGTGTCAACACTAGATGGACACAAATCGATCTTGCAAGAAAATCAATTTTGTCATCAATAGGATCAACTAGTGTTGGTACTCATGCTTAACAAATATATTATTTCTAAATTTAAAGCTAAGTGTCAACACTAGATGGACACAAATCGATCTTGCAAGAAAATCAATTTTGTCATCAATAGGATCAACTAGTGTTGGTACTCATGCTTAACAAATATATTATTTCTAAATTTAAAGCTAAGTGTCAACACTAGATGGACACAAATCGATCTTGCAAGAAAATCAATTTTGTCATCAATAGGATCAACTAGTGTTGGTACTCATGCTTAACAAATATATTATTTCTAAATTTAAAGCTAAGTGTCAACACTAGATGGACACAAATCGATCTTGCAAGAAAATCAATTTTGTCATCAATAGGATCAACTAGTGTTGGTACTCATGCTTAACAAATATATTATTTCTAAATTTAAAGCTAAGTGTCAACACTAGATGGACACAAATCGATCTTGCAAGAAAATCAATTTTGTCATCAATAGGATCAACTAGTGTTGGTACTTATGCTTAACAAACAATCGATGGACACAAAAATATTATCATAAAATTAAAGCTAAATATCAATACTAGATGGACACAAACACATTAATGAAAAAAATTGTACTTGAACTTTAGAAATTTAGCAGCACCAACCTTATCTCCTACTTTGATGAAAGAAGCAATATAGTCTTGTATCAACTTTTTTAGATGTTGAGCTTCCTCAGTTGCCTAACACGAAAAGTTCTAAAATTAGTTAAATTTCAAGTTCAAGTTCTAAGTTCTAAGTTCTAAGTTCAAGGTCAAGTTCTAATTTCAAGTTCAAGTTCAAGTTCAAGTTCTAATTTCAAGTTCAAGTTCTAGTTCAAGTTCAAGTTCAAGTTCTAAGTTCTAAGTTCTAAGTTCAAGGTCAAGTTCTAATTTCAAGTTCAAGTTCTAATTCTAAGTTCAAGTTCAAGTTCTAAGTTCTAAGTTCAAGGTCAAGTTCTAATTTCAAGTTCAAGTTCTAAGTTCTAAGTTCAAGGTCAAGTTCTAATTTCAAGTTCAAGTTCAAGTTCTAATTTCAAGTTCAAGTTCAAGTTCTAAGTTTTAAGTTCAAGTTCTAATTTCAAGTTCAAGTTCTAATTCTAAGTTCAAGTTCAAGTTCTAATTCTAAGTTCAAGTTCAAGTTCTAAGTTTTAAGTTCAAGTTCTAATTTCAAGTTCAAGTTCTAATTCTAAGTTCAAGTTCAAGTTCTAAATTCAAGTTCAAGTTCTAATTTCAAGTTCAAGTTCTAAGTTTTAAGTTCAAGTTCTAAGTTCTAAGTTCTCAAGTTCAAGTTCAATTTCTAATTTCAAGTTCAAGTTCAATTTCTAATTTCAAGTTCAAGTTCAATTTCTAATTTCAAGTTCAAGTTCAATTTCTAATTTCAAGTTCAAGTTCAATTTCTAATTTCAAGTTCAAGTTCAATTTCTAATTTCAAGTTCAAGTTCAATTTCTAATTTCAAGTTCAAGTTCAATTTCTAATTTCAAGTTCAAGTTCAATTTCTAATTTCAAGTTCAAGTTCAATTTCTAATTTCAAGTTCAAGTTCAATTTCTAATTTCAAGTTCAAGTTCTAAGTTCAAGTTCAAGTTCAAGTTCATGTTCAAATTCTAAGTTCAACTTCAATAATAATTCAAACTAGTGCTAAATTCAAAATTCAAACTAGTCCTAAAATCCTAAAATCCCAAAATCTAACTAGTGCTAAAATCCTAAATTCAAACAACTCCTTAAATACCCTAATTCAATCTAATCTTACAATTCCAAAATCAAACTAATTAACTCAAGAAATACTGAAATTCAAACAAATTCTAAGATACCCTAATTCAAACTAACCCCAACATTAAAATTTTCATTTCACAATCAACAAACACAAACGAACAATCAAATAATCCTTAATTCAAACTATCCATCAAAAACCCCTAAATCATTCACTTACTAACTAACAATCAATCAAACTAACAATTAATAAAAAAACTAATTCAATACACTAATTAGCAAATTCAATACTCAAATTGAAAGAAATTAAAAATAATATTATGAAACCCTAACCTTCAATTAAAGGAGATGGGCAGTGGATCGAGGTCGGGGTCAGTTGGCCGGAGATGTTGTTGCTCTCCTCGCCGGCTGCTGATGTTGAGTA